CACTGTCACAATTAATAATCTTTACCCACTAGAGTATAGTAAAAAAAAGGTCATATATCGAATTAATAATTTTGTCCTAAAGTCCTAAGTCCTAAAACAGAAAGAGTTTTCCTAAAATTTTTTTTTTTTTTTTTTAAAACTTCTTTTTTATCGACAATTTGACACTGGGCATCAATCTAGAATTCCATAGTATACCCTAATATAAACTGTTGTTGAAGTCCTAGCACATGAAGATCAAAATCAAAATCGTAATTTGTTTATTTTAAATAAAAACTAAGATTTTTTACCACACTTCCCTCCTAATTTTCACATGCCACAAATTTGAGACCTATGGATTCAATTATCATTTCCATTAAAATTCTAGCTCAAATATAAATTTCCAAATTTTTATGTTTTTTACCCAAAAAGAATGACTTTTTGCAAAAATTCCTCCCCCATTTTAACTAAGAAAATCGACAAAATTATCTTTCACTTACAGATCATGACTATTCATAAAAATATTGATATCAGATGAGGCAATCTTGGTTTAAAATGCGGCATAAAAATATTGACAACGGACAGACAGACAGTTATTGGTGAAGGGCACGGCGGATTGGTCGGCGTGGTCTTATTAAAAAACCAGACCAAATGACATTGAACCATTATAGCCTAATAGTTTTGCTCCCCAACAAAAGTGAACCGGAACAAGTCATGGAAGTTCAGTATATTGCTGTACCGATTACATGATAAATGTATATATAATTACGAAACGATTTTAACACTTTCAATGATTTGTGCTATGACAAGTAAGCGACACCGAATCTTTCACGATATTTTTCACGATCACAAAAAATTGGTACCGATCCCTCACGATCATAAATATCAAATTTATATAAATATTTCCATTTTGCTCCAATTTTTGATAAAGCAACTACAAATAAAATTTGAGAGCCATTTGAAACATTACTATAGAACGAGATTATTCAGAAAATAATAATTTAGACATTCATATAGTGAAACAAATCAAGTTTGTTTACATTTTTTATGTCATCGGTGATCTTTTAAACTCTGATTTTCTCAGATACTGATCATAATGTTGTACCATTTTGACAGACAATTTTACTTTTTTCAAAATTTAATACTTATTTGGTTGTTTTGAAATAATTGTGAACAATTCGACCAAATAAGTATTAAATTGACATTTAATATCGTTCAAACGGAAGCTTGATCAATTCTATATTGCTTTCGTTTTACGTCAGAACCAGTAAATTAGATCTTTACATATTTACACTTCTTTAGATGGCTTAAATTCAGGGAAACGGCTTGCCGAACTCGATCTAAAAATGAGTTGAACTATCCAGAACATAGCTATTAAAATGAATAACTTTATAGTTAATTTGTGATTAAATATTTGGACGAAAATCGTGTTTTTGCGTACTAATTTGTATTAGTAAAAGCTCATTGATAAGTTCATATTGACATTAAAAGACCTTTGAACAAAAAAAGATATCAAGATCCCCGAGCCGGTGGGCGAGGGGATTTTATTAGCCCTTTATTTGGTCAATATGAATTTATCATTGAACTTTTACTGACTCAAGAAAAGTACAGAAAAAGCACTTGCATAAACCTTATTCCCCCAAAATGGACGAGTCTAAATAAGCTTCCCGGAAGAATCATGCTATCCAGTTACACAGATCTCGTTCGTTTCTGACTAATGAATGTTCTACACAAGAACTTTTGTTATGAGATAAATACTCAAAGACCAGACTATACTTAAACAGTTAGTAAATCTTTTTCAAAGATTAGTTTTTTTCTATAACAGCTTGTTATACAAGATCTAATCAAACAGAACCAATTGTATATAAGGTTCTTCAGGATATTACGGTAAATGCTCATTAAGGTTTCAATTATGTACTTTGCCTAGGCTACGTGATATGTAAATGCAAAATGAGTAAAATTAAAATCAAACCGCAATAAATAAAATCGGTTTTAAACGGCCTAAATGTAACATCTTCAGTATGAAGTAATGTAGGTTTGAGATGCTCACTCAAAACGTGTATAGTCGAGATATTTTGTCAAAATTGATCATCATTTTTTGATTGAAATACAATGTACTAAATCGACATGAAAACAAATATTTTAGTTATCAGTCATTCCCTTTACACGTCTAAATTTAGCAAACACTCCTAGTTGTTTTCATCTTAATCGTTGAATTTGTCTTGGAATTACAATAAAATCTACATGACTAAACCGATGAGAACATAACCGTTGCACGGCTGGCGTTCGGTTTATCGAGAAGAATGATCGTTAAAGTATAAGTAACGGTGGTCAAGTATTTCGACTGGATCGTGAAAGATCTAGTATGGGATCTTGAAAGAAATCTTATCGAGAAGACACACGTAAGGTCAATAGATATTCTAATTTATTGAGTTATAAGAACAAATTTTGAAAAAAGTAAAATTGTCTGTCAAAATGGTACAACATTATGATCAGTATCTGAGAAAATCAGAGTTTAAAAGATCCCCGATGACATAAAAAATGTAAACAAACTTGATTTGTTTCACTATATGAATGTCTAAATTATTATTTTCTGAATAATCTCGTTCTATAGTAATGTTTCAAATGGCTCTCAAATTTTATTTGTAGTTGCTTTATCAAAAATTGGAGCAAAATGGAAATATTTATATAAATTTGATATTTATGATCGTGAGGGATCGGTACCAATTTTTTGTGATCGTGAAAAATATCGTGAAAGATTCGGTGTCGCTTACTTGTCATAGCACAAATCATTGAAAGTGTTAAAATCGTTTCGTAATTATATATACATTTATCATGTAATCGGTACAGCAATATACTGAACTTCCATGACTTGTTCCGGTTCACTTTTGTTGGGGAGCAAAACTATTAGGCTATAATGGTTCAATGTCATTTGGTCTGGTTTTTTAATAAGACCACGCCGACCAATCTGCCGTGCCCTTCACCAATAACTGTCTGTCTGTCCGTTGTCAATATTTTTATGCCGCATTTTAAACCAAGATTGCCTCATCTGATATCAATATTTTTATGAATAGTCATGATCTGTAAGTGAAAGATAATTTTGTCGATTTTCTTAGTTAAAATGGGGGAGGAATTTTTGCAAAAAGTCATTCTTTTTGGGTAAAAAACATAAAAATTTGGAAATTTATATTTGAGCTAGAATTTTAATGGAAATGATAATTGAATCCATAGGTCTCAAATTTGTGGCATGTAAAAATTAGGAGGGAAGTGTGGTAAAAAATCTTAGTTTTTATTTAAAATAAACAAATTACGATTTTGATTTTGATCTTCATGTGCTAGGACTTCAACAACAGTTTATATTAGGGTATACTATGGAATTCTAGATTGATGCCCAGTGTCAAATTGTCGATAAAAAAGAAGTTTTTAATAAAAAAAAACAAATTTTAGGAAAACTCTTTCTGTTTTAGGACTTAGGACTTTAGGACAAAATTATTAATTCGATATGTGACCTTTTTTTTACTATACTCTAGTGGGTAAAGATTATTAATTGTGACAGTGTAATAAAATTTGATCAATAACAAAACTTGTGTCAATAAGTTTCGAAGCAATGAATGTGGTTTTTAATTTGATAGATGCTTTTGTGCTTTTTTTGTAAATAATTGTTTGTTTTGATATTGTAACACAGTGATGACTGCTGTACCCATATTTTGACTATTTTTTTTATAATGTCTGTTTTGTTCACGCATCGTTGTAAATATAACGGAATTTGATGAGACTGTCGTACAAGTGAGAGGTTTAGCGCTATAAAACCAGGTTCAATCCACCATTTTCTACATTTGAAAATGCCTGTACCAAGTCAGGAATGTGACAGTTGTTGTCCATTCGTTTGATGTGTTTTGTCATTTGATTTTGCCATGTGATTAGGGACTTTCCGGTTGAATTTTCCTCGAAGTTCGGTATTTTTGTGATTTTACTTTTTTTCAGCAGATGTGGAAATTTTAATGACAAAGAGTTTTGGAAATTCACTGAAGATCGTTGCACAACAAACTGAAAAATTATGACCCATTGATATATCACAATTGGTCAATTACTACCTATTGATATATTTTCTCGGTAAAATTGCACCCCATTGATATATTTGACGTATCAAAAAAGGGACCCATTCCAGCGGCACATATGTATATAGAGTGAGAGACCCATATTCGCCGCATAATTCGTTCATTTCCACTTACATCCGACCTACATTCGAATATTTGGAACTTTTTATGAAGGTTTCAGAAATTTAACTATATGAAAAAAATGTTTGTTAAAGAAATTATCTTCAAAACATTGGTTAATTGTTCTAAAAACGAACGCTAACTCAAGACTCGGGAAATCAAGTTGTTCGCGTACCATGGGGGACACATTTTCGCCGCAATGTATGATATGACAATCCTCATTATCCTGGTATATTATAAAAACGAATGTTTGCAATTACATGAATTAGCTTGAGAGATCATTCCTATACGATTTTTCTCACAAATATTTACTTTAAGACTGTGCATGATTGCCATATAAATTTTACATAATTGCCAAAATCATTTAAAAACACCTGCGTATTTCTCAATATGTGCGAATAACCTTGAAAATGGGTTAAAGAGGAATATCAACAGTTGTAACAGCCTTTACCATCTATTTAGGCAAGTATTGGGTAAAGGCACACAAATTTTACAGAAAAAATAGCAAAACGGCGAAAATGTGTCCAAGGCGAATATGCGCCACCCACTCTACCTTCATATAGGAAGAGACTCCCCCCGTGGTATAAAGAGAGATAACTCAAATCTAATCTTAATGTCTAAGAATTTCACAATTATTAAATTCCTAAATAACATACTTAAGCATACAAATAAATCATGATGATTTTTTAAATTATTTTCTCCTTCTTTGTACTGTTTCAGAATTTAGTACTAGTGTTACGGTATAAAGCCAAATAGTACGAAATTACCTTATATTAAATAAAGCGTTTATTTAACAAAGACCATGCGTCTGTTTGACATAGATTGTTTACATCGCATACCATAGAAATCACAGAAAAATAGAAAAAAATGAACAAAAAATAGCATATTCTCATAATAATTCCAAGATTGTTTACATCGCATACCATAGAAATCACAGAAAAATAGAAAAAAATTAACAAAAAATAGCATATTCTCATAATAATTCCAAGAACTATATAGAAGTAAATGGACTAAAAGAGAAATAAACTACATAATCCAGGTAAATGCAATTTTATATGCATCTTCATTTACATCTACATAATCCAGGTAAATGCAATTTGTATGCATCTTGATCTTCATTTACATCTAAATATTTTCAAAGGTTTATCGTAACCTTTTGGCAAATAATAGTATGGTTGTATATTTAAATGCATTTTAAGTTTTCCGAGGAATGCTGATAGATGTATCCCACTGTAGTGTGCATGTGGAGTGGACCCCAATGAACACAATAAACGTATTTACACTTTTAGTATTTAGCTATATTTTGCCTCCGAATGACCTTATATCTACTCCGAATCACCTTTTGACGTCAGGCAACAATCATTTTTTATTTGTGACGTCAAATGTTTTGAATTATGATGTCAAAGTTTACGGGAACCTGTGATTTTACGTAATGGCAGACAAATTTGCATACAAGTGTAAATACGTCTATTACCAAAACAGTGCTTAGGTCGGAGTGGAACTGATCTGGGTACAGCAGTCTAAAGAAGGTCATTTTGCAAAGAATTCTGCTCAAACCAGTGTTAGAGGCCGTCTTAAACTTGCAGTGAGGTGAAAGGTTTTGTTTTGCTCCGTGTTAAAGGCCTCCCTAGGACTTTGAGATGAAGAACAGCAATAAAAGCACTGTTCTTTTGCTTTTTGTGTGTTTTTTGCTGTGCATGTACTGAATTGTGTCATGGATGGATACCCCATATCCTTTGTTTTTCTATTATGGAATGTTTTAAAACTTGGAAGTAAGCTTTTGCAAGGTCAAGAAATAGAATCTGAAAAAAAAGGTTGATTTTTTTGGATTTTTTTAATGTTAAAGGACTAAGTATTTTAGCAATCAGCATTACACTTTTAGATCAACAGCAGCATATGCAAGCAAGACACAGGGTTCAACCTCTGTGTAACCCTTTACTTTCATGAGCAACACTAAGGGTGCCACTACTGGAGCAGAATCTGCTTACTTTTATGGAGCCTCAGTAGGAGAGATTACGAACAATTAATTATACATTTGCTAGAATTGATAATAGAAATCCTTGATTTCCTTTTTTGTTTGATAATGCAAATTTTATAATTGGTAGGTAGAAACAAGATATGTCTGGATCTCTGTCTGTTGTGTCATTTGAGGGAGAACTCAATGCCATTGTACAAGAGGTAAGTTATTAATAATTAGACAAATATTTTTGGTTACATCCTATAAAAAAGTGCTATTTTAGTTTATATATAATGAATGCAGTAGTCAAGCCTTTTAGTCTAATAGTTCAATTAATGATTTGAGGTGGACAACACAGAATTTTGAAGAGAGAGTTTAGAGTTATCAAAAAAGAAATGTTTAGTTATGCTGTAAAAATCATCATTTAATTTCTTATTCTATCTAGATGTAAAATATTTGATTTGCAAACTTTATTTCTGTGAAGTATGAGTACTGTCAAAAACAAAACGAATGTTATAAATCTTATTACAAAGTAGAAAATGTAGTACATTTGTAGGTTTGGTTCAGGAAAGGCCCTTTCGGGCCTCAAATATTAAGTCCATTGTTGTAAAATGAAAAGTGCTTTAATTTAATGCATACATGTATATTCACGTACATGTATGTGAGAAAGTGAAATGTGAAGATTTTTGTCCTGATTTTCTTACAAAGCTTTGTCAGTTACACCCCAATTGGGTAGAACCACAGGCACTTGTCTCAGAAATTTTTTTTTTTATATTAAGGTGTATAGGAAAATTTTTTCTGAGACAAGTGCCTGTGGGTAGAACATAGAGATTTTTGTGAAAGTTGACAACATCTTCTGGATTTCATCTACAATTAGGTCTAAAATAAAGTGCAGGTTTTACCAAACTGAATTTTCAAGTCAGATAAAGTATTTGTCATAATTACTAACATAATTTTAAAAAGTCACTATATGTTTGACAAACATTTTTTTTAAATCTTTTTTATTGATGCATACACTCTATGTTTGCGATCCCAAAAACCTATTGAAATTTGCATTGGAAGAAATTTAAGTTGTACATGTATGCTAATTATGCATGACATCATAAAAAGAACACTGATACACTCGTCACTGTCACAGTAAACTTTCAAACAAAAATACCCATATCCTATCCATAGTTTTACAAGTTAAGAATTGACCAGTTTTTACAAGCTACTTTTGTTCATCAGATACTTTGTTGGCCATGGGAATTGATTGACAATGAGCTTGACCTTGTACTATTGTATTTTTCAGTACCTGGAGTTTGTGACATTTGACAAGACGTTGGTATCTTTCCAGAAAGAATGCGAAACAAAGCAGAAACCTATCACTACAGAGAGTATAAAGTCTAAATCAAACCAGAAATTACTGGCTATACAGGTATTCAGTTGTTATGGTAATACAAATCCTTGATTTAAACAGAAGGCATGTGCGTATACAGCTATTCTGTAGTCATGATAAAAGAAATATAAGTATTTGTACTCAGATTCGGATAACAAAATACTGGTCATACATTTAATTGGTTGTCATGGTAATAGAAACAACTAAATACTGAACACACTAGGTGATGCAGTAAAAAAAAACACTCTAAGCTTGCTGATGTTTAGGGATACACTGTCATACAAGGTAATTGGAGGCGATAATAATCTATTCTACAACCTCATCATAAATAGTCAAATGTAATTGGAGGAAGATTTCAGAGTGAATCACCTAAGATCACCAGCATTCACTAAAAATTCACCAGTAATAGTGATTTGTAATTGAATCACAGAATAAAGTCAAATTCAAACGAAAAATAAATAGGCAATACAGAAAACCAAAAAATAAAATATATATAGTGCAATTTCTTTATTCATTTAGAATTAACTGTTATGATTACACAAAGGCAAATCTACACTAAACAAATTATTAAATTTCCAATAAACATGTTATTATGATTTTTGATTGTCCCTTTTGTGTCTTTGGGACTGGTTGGCCAAGTGCTCTAAATAGTTCATCTACAGTGGTTACTAGCCTTTGTACACTCAGGTTGTAAGTTCGAACCCTGTTAAGCCAAGGTTTGTTTGACTCAAATCTTAATCGCCTTGGATTGCAAGTTTTCATGCTGAATGCAATGGATTTTCTGGATACTCTGACTTCCACCACAAATAAAAAATGGCCCTCATTATATAGCCAAGTGTACTGAAATAGGCATTAAACACAAAAAAAAACAATCACCATCTTCTGCTTCTTTTTTTGCTGGGCTGTTTTCTGCTCCTTGGTCGGGTTGTTGTCTCATTGACACATTCAATAATAGCATTTCATAACAAAAAAATCAAAATATTAAATTCTTCATCAAAATGAAACATATAGTTTTTCATTATTCAGGAATAGTTGATGCTATGTTAATAAAACAAAACCCCCAAAAAGAACGACCAAATCTACTCGATGATTATTTTTTATCCATTTGGAAGATTCCAAATAATGAAATTTTTTAAAGCTGTCATCTTTGAGTTTGTTTTCGCATGTTTTGTATGAACTTTTGTTTTTAGAATGAATTGATGCAAAATTTCCATAAAGGAAAGAGAGACAGATTTCTGAAGTTATGGAGTGAAAATTTGGCAGCCTCTGTCAAAGACCAGGACCCAGTGGCAAAGAAACTAGAATTTTATGTCAATATATATTTTGCTGTGTATCCAATAAAGTTTGCAAGAGGTCAGGTAAGATAATTTGTGTGAAACCATGTTAGTATATCCTTTTCAATATTATTGTACAGATATATATGATATCTGGACCAGAATCAAAATGGTGGTAAAATATTTATAATTGTTGCTGTATTATCTGTAATGTTTTATACTGTGAATACATTTTTTTTGTTGATTGAAGAAGAATTGTAGTTTCTTGGATATTTGATTTTGAGGTTTTGCCAAAAATCTGCATATAAACCAATAGTAAATTTGTACTTCGTTGAACTTTAAAATTTGTGGTTTCCCTTTACCAAGGAAATCCACAAAAACTAATATCCCATGAATAATAATTAATATTCAGTAATATGAAGGTAACAGCCATGTTGATTTTTCTTTATAGAGAGATGCTGACAGAGCTATGGGAGATTTTAAGAAGTACTTAGAAACCCGAGGTGCTACACTGAGTCAGACAACAGAGTTTTTACCATACTATGCTTTACCATTTGTACCCAATGCCAAGGGACATCCTGTGTATAAAGAATTGTTCACAGTATGTACATACATCTTATAAAGTATTGTTCACAGTATGTACATACATCTTATAATGATTTGTTCACAGTATATACATACATTTTACAAAGAATTGTTCACAGTATGTACATCCATCGTATAAAGAATTGTTCACAGTATGTGCATACATCGTATAAAGAATTGTTCACAGTATGTACATACATCTTATAATGAATTGTTCACAGTATGTACATACATTTTACAAAGAATTGTTCACAGTATGTACATCCATCGTATAAAGAATTTTTCACAGTATGTGCATACATCGTATAAAGAATTGTTCACAGTATGTACATACATCGTATAAAGAATTGTTCACAGTATGTACATACATCTTATAAAGAATTAATCACAGTATGTACATCCATCTTATAAAGAATTGTTCACAGCTTTTACATACATCTTATAAAGAATTGTTCACAGTTTGTACATACATTCTTTTCACAGAGGCAAGACAGAGTTAAATTCCTCAAGGAAATACAAGGGTGAAAAAAAAGGTTTATACGAAAAAAAGATGCATATTGAACCCCACAGTAAAAAAAAGACAAAATTTCTGTAACATATATAGCATTGGCAAATATAAGAACCATAATTGAAATCCAGAGGTCAAATCATGAACAAGGGAAATCAAATGCAATCAAACAATTCAAGTTAAAGGTAATTCATTAACAGACATGTATACAAACAGCATACACAAAAAAAAGCTTTAAGCTCTCATAAGAGAGAGTGTGTGTACATAAATAAATGAAGCTTTGATTAAGTAGTGTTTTAGTACTTGCATGCACTCTGTAATGAAAAATTTTAAATATTTACCAAGAAAAGCAAACAATATGCATGTACATGTACTTTCCAAAAAACACTAGTGATACTTTGAAGTCATAATTACTATTATTTTATATTCATTATTGATGAAGTCCTCAGTGTCCATGTCGTGTTATGTCAACATGAATACAGGCATATAAGTGAATCTAATAGAGACAAACTGGATGACATATTAGGCCAAATAAGCCCTGATGAGAGTTACAAGTCCTCTGTTATCCCTGATATTGCAGCCACAAGCTTATATATTATGATATTTTACAGGGGACAAGATTCACCATTATTATTGCAGTTACCATGTATTAAAAGTATCGCTTTGGTGATCTCCTGGTAGCATGTTTGTCTCAAGTGCAAGAGTTAAAGGTATCAAACCTCGGTTGAGTCAAACCAAAGACTTTAAAATTGTTATTTGCTGCTTCTCCACTAAGCATGCTGCATTTAGGAGTAAGATATCTAGAGCAAAGACTGGTCGGCTTAGCTTCAGATAAGTGTGTTCATGTAGGGTGATATGTCTTCATGTGGAGTGTTAACTTATTAAAATACCACATTAAAAATCAGGCTTTGAGTGTCTGTCTTGTAGAAAGCAGGGTTTATATTAATCTCATATTATCATGTTCTTGTCCTGAATATGCATTTGATTTGCCACTGGACATTAAAAGGATTTAGAGTTAAGACTGGAAAAGTTCCTGACATTAACTCTGAAGTCAACACCACAACCAAAACTTTTCGATCTTTATGTATCCTTTTAAAAAAAGATAATATCATTATTTTTTAGTCATAGAATGGCTCTTACCATACCTTCTTCTTTGACAATTATACAGAACAGATATTGTGTGAAACAATTTACAGCTGTTTTTTTTTCTTAACATCCAATCAGAGAGGAAATAAAGTTGGCGATGAAAATGGTGAGATATCTTTATTGTAAAACCTTTACTGAAGTTGTGTGTCTTGTAAATAGATATCCTTAGCACATACTTATAGAAAGTTCAGAGTGAATCAAATACAATCACTAGCCACTGAATTAACTTGTGTAAACTCTTTGAGGAGATATAAATGGAATGGAATGTAGTTTTAACAACTAAATCGGAAGATAATTCTGAATATTTATTACTGAATAATATAATCTTCAGTTAGGGTTGTTTCAGTATAAAATATGTGGGATTAGGTATATGGTAAAAAATTCAAAGATGAAGGCATTTTTTCAGAATCCCCACTTGAATTTGTAATGTAAAAATATATTCTGGAATCTGGACCCAGCCACTAATCAAAATGTATATGCATAAACCTTCAATTAGACCCTCTAGATAAACTTTTTTCTGGAATATCCTTAATACTAGCATGACTAGATAGATACCCTTTAATTTCTGAAATAGGATTAAAAAAATGAAATGCTTAGTTCATCTATTTTTTTCTGGCAATATTTTAAGCTTCCAAATAATTTCATTTGATATTGGAAATGATATTAAAATACAGCCAAAGATGAACCAAAGGTCTGTAGACTGTATTGTAGCTGTGCAATGTCATACCCAGATGTCCAGAAAAACAAATCGCTAATCAAGCCTATAACTTTTAGCTTTCTTATGATTTTATGTTTTGATTTTAACATTTTTCAATAGAGCAATTTCAACAGATATCCCGATTACAGCAGCAGTTAGTCGACTCTGAAAGAAAGACCATGTCATACATAAAACGACACAACCGTGTACAGGTACCTCTAACACTCAATCCTTACTGGTCTAACATGCATGAACATTGTTCATTATTTATTTTGCATGCTAATTTTGGACTTGAACGAACCTCATATTAGTACATGCTAATCAAATTGGTAATCCTCCTTCACCTAAAATTTTAAACATGTTACAAGGCATGAGAAAGAATACATGTAAAACATCATCGTAAGTAAGGTCACACCAATGTCATTTTTAAAACTTTGACATTTTACATGCAAATATGCATGTAACCAAGTTTCCTTCTGAAAATTTAAAGGTTTAAATATGTGTGCATATTTGAAAAAAAAAGAAAAGATACAAGACATTTAAGTCACATTAGTAATAGTTAAAAGAAAAGAGAGGGGTAGGAGGGGTGCCAACCGGAATTCCAGTTCTTTCCCAGATCATGAAATATTAATTCCTGAGTCCAAATAAGTGAAATTTCCAGCAAAAATAAAGGCATACTCCCTATGTCCTGAAAAAGATCTTTCCACCCCTCCTAAAGCTAATCCATAGAAATGAAAATCATTGGTGTGATCAAAGCACATGTTAAACCTATGTGTAGTTACCTCAGGTTGGAATAATAATAAACAAATATTATTTAGAAATCTCTCTCTAAATCAGTGTAAGATAATTTCTTCTTTCTTGCATGTATTTTCAGTATTCTCACTGGTAAGTTGTCTTTTCAATCTGTTGTCTTTAATGTTTTGTTTGTCTATGTAGTTTTTGTATTATTTTTACAAATCATGAATATAAATAAAAGGTGATGTATGACATACATCAATGAGAAAACAGTAGTATAGTTAAAGGTCAGATAAGTGTGGAAATAGATGTCATTTTTTGTGTGTAAATATAGATACAATGCTGGTCGATAACTTTTTTCTGTCCTGTAAATCTGTCAATATTTATGTTGACTGAGATTCATATATATAGAAGGTTAGTCACTTTAGGTCACTGTACTGCCTTCAACAATGAGTAAAACCATACCGCATAATTTATTGTTTGTATTTACACATTTGACAACAATGAACAATATTCCCTAATTCTGTTTTTCCTTTTTAATTTGTGCATTATATTTCAATTATTTTTTCATAGAGTTAAAATTTTCTTTTCAAGTTTATAGATGACATTACCTAATATGTTATTTTTAGATGGGCATTTCTATTTATTGCATTTTGATGATTTTAATTATTTCTTTGAAACTGTGAATGAAAAAAAATGTTGCTACTGACTTATTAAAATTAGCTTGAGTTTTTTTCCCTACATTGCTATACTTTTAATTAAGTCTCCCAAACGAAGTTTGGGAAGACTTATTGGTTTTGCTCAGTTCTTATTATTATTATTATTATTCTTCTTCTTCTTCTTCCTCTTCCGCCGCTTTTAAATTTGAACTTGTCCGCACCCGTTCTCCAAAACCACTTGTCAGATTAACTTAAGGTTTCACAATATGTTAGACTAACATGTCTAGTGGTGCAATCAGGGTTTTGTTTGTGCAATGGGGTTTATAAAGGGGTACTTTGAGGGGCAAAAAGAAAGGAGGGTTTTACTATAGAACCCTATGGGATTTTATTTTTTAAAATTTTCAAATGATTATAAATTGAAAACCGTTTGTGATAGACACAATCTTTTGAATTGAAAATGTTCTAAATGATAAAGCACATTAGATGAAATACAGGGTTAGTCCCCAGGGGTCACCCCCACCCCCTGCCATTTAAGAAAGTTCTAATATCTTGTAAATGGTCGAGATCCCCACCCCTAAACCATATATATTCTGGTTTGTCATGATAAAGCACATTAAATGAAATACAGGGTTAGTCCCCAGGGGTCATCCCGACCCCCTGCCATTTGAGAAAATTCTAATATCTTGTAAATGGTCGAGATCCCCACCCCTTAACCATTTATATTCTGGTTTGTCATGATAAAGCACATTAAATGAAATACAGGGTTAGTCCCCAGGGGTCACCCCCACCCCCTGCCATTTAAGAAAGTTCTAATATCTTGTAAGTGGTCAATATCCCCACCCCTAAACCATATATATTCTGGTTTGTCATGCTAAGATGGTTTGAATGATATACAGGGTTAGTCCCCAGGGGTCATCCCGACCCCCTGCCATTTGAGAAAGTTCTAATATCTTGTAAATGGTCGAGATCCCCACCCCTAAACCATATATATTCTGGTTTGTCATGATAAAGCACATCAAATGAAATACAGGGTTAGTGCCCAGGGGTCACCCCCACCCCCTGCCATTTAAGAAAGTTATAATATCTTGTAAGTGGTCAAGATCCCCACCCCTAAACCATATATATTCTGGTTTGTCATACCAAGATGGTTTGAATGATATACAGGGTTAGTCCCCAGGGGTCACCCCCACCCCCTGCCATTTTAGAAAGTTCTAATATCTTGTAAATGGTCGAGATCCCCACCCCTAAACCATATATATTCCTGTTCATCATGTCTCGAACATTTGAATGACGTAAACGGTCAGTCCCCAGGGGTTCCCCCAACCCCCAATGTTCTAATATCTTGTAAATGGTCGAGATCCCCACCCCTAAACCATATATATTCCTGTTCATCATGTCTCGAACATTTGAATGACGTATAGGGTCAGTCCCAAGAGGTTCCCCCACCCCCGATGTTCTAGTATCTTGTAAATGGTCGAGATCCCCACCCCTAAACTATATATATTCTGGTTTGTCATGCCAAGATGATTTGAATGATATACAGGGTTAGTCCCCAGGCATCACTAATGGGAATTACGAATTATGGGAGCTTCGTTTGGGAGACTTCGTAACAGCATCCTGTTACAATCATTTCTTGTTAGGAGATAATTTAATAGATTTTTTAACCTGGCCTATGTAAAACCAAGCTTAATGTAGACCAAGTTAAAATACTTAATTCAGTTATTGCCATCTAATATGAATTTAGATTAAACAAAACTTTATCACAAAGTGTATAAAACCTGATTAAAAAGAGATTTCGTGTAAACATCAATTAGACAGTTGTCATGCAGCAGAAGCCTAATCATTTGGCATTCTTGAGAGGACACATGCTCCTACACTGTATGACAATATTATATTATATAGACACTTTTGGTGTTTAAGACTGTATGTTGACAACTAGATGTCCATTGGTTTTGTGTCATTAGATTGCTGTGGACAATACTCCTGACATTAATTCTATATATATATCTGTGGGGATGTTAAGCAACCAACAATCAATCAATCAATTATATTTCTGCTAGGGTAAAACTTGTAAATCAGTTTGCAAATCAGTCCAAATTACACTCATCAGTTAAAGATGATAGGAAAGTCGAATTCAATTATGTTTTATTCAAAGTATTGGTCTATGAACTAAAAGTGAACAATGTTCCTGCATGCTATAGACCAGTTTAATGAGTTATTGATAGTTAGTGACTTAAGCCATATCAATTAATTTTTATATATATATATATATATATATATATATATATATATATAATTAAAGATTCATGATGAGAGTGTGTGAAAAACATTGACAGTTAAAGAAATGAAGAATATAACTACCAATACTTAAAATTTCAGTTTTAATGATTAGAATTTTAATTGTCATATTCATGTTTTGATAATAATATTGCATTAATTTTTTGATTGATTGTAATAGTACTAGTAGTGATATAAAGATTTTTCAAAATAGTAGTTTTTTAAATTTTTTTTCTTGTTTTCCTAAAGGACACCATGTAACATGTTTTTGTTGATATATCTTTTTCAATACTTACAGGGAGATATTTTATTACAGTATATTTGGCAGACTGAAATTAGATTTGCTTTTTGTGAAATAAGATGACTAAATTATATCATAAATGATTTTCTTTTGTAGATTAATTTAAAGTAAGAGGAAACAGATTATAAATTCTATTGCTTCATTTTTAAAGATCAACAATACATAATTTCATTTCAGATTTCTCCTGATTATCTCCAAGAGATTTGCTCTCGACTATTTAGTGGACATATGCAGAATTCAGTTGATTTCACACGACCTGGTACAGCTAGTCAAATGCTTCGTCAGTCAATGGCTCTAACGTAAGTTTTATTTACCTGCAATTGAGTTTGTAGTGATAGCTGTGTTTTGATTTTGTTTGTTTGTCCATCTGTCTACAACTCTTAATAAAGCAGTGACCACATTTCAATAAAACTTTCAAAAAATCTGTAGTAGCTACTTTCAATTTGTATTTCCTATTTAAGATCATTGATCCAAATGATAAAAATACAAATGGCAGAGCAAGATTATGAATTTGTGAGTTCTAGTGAAGAGGAGGTTTGTTCTAGTGAAGAGGAAGTTTGTGAGTTCTAGTGAAGAGGAGGTTTGTTCTAGTGAAGAGGAAGTTTGTGAGTTCTAGTTAAGAGGAGGTTTGTGAGTTTTTGTGAAGAGGAGGTTTGTGAGTTCTAGTGAAGAGGAGATTTGTGAGTTCTAGTGAAGAGGAGATTTTTGAGTTCTAGTGAAGAAGAGGTTTGTGAGTTCTTGTGAAGAGGAAGTTTGTGAGTTCTAGTGAAGAGGAGGTTTGTGAGTTCTAGTGAAGAGGGTGGTGTGTGAGTTCTTGTGAAGAGGAGGTTTGTGAGTTCTAGTGAAGAGGAGGTTTGTGAGTTCTAGTGAAGAGGAGGTTTGTGAGTTCTTGTGAAGAGAAGGTTTGTGAGTTCTTGTGAAGAAGAGGTTTGTGAGTTCTAGTGAAGAGGAGGTTTGTGAGTTCTAGTGAAGAGGAGGTTTGTGAGTTCTTGTGAAGAGGAGGTTTGTGAGTTCTAGTGAAGAGAAGGTTTGTGAGTTCTAGTGAAGAGGAGGTTTGTGAGTTCTAGTGAAGAGGAGATTTGTGAGTTCTAGTGAAGAGGAGGTTTGTGAGTTCTTGTGAAGAGGAGGTTTGTGAGTTCTAGTGAAGAGAAGGTTTGTGAGTTCTAGTGAAGAGGAGGTTTGTGAGTTCTAGTGAAGAGGAGGTTTGTGAGTTCTTTGTGAAGAGGAGGTTTGTGAGTTCTTGTGAAGAGGAAGTTCGTGAGTTCTAGTGAAGAGGAAGTTTGTGATCTCTGCAAAGAGGGAAGTTTGTACACACACACATTTTGTGCCTGTATTAAGTCAGGCTACTGGACCATTTGTTGTTTGTGTTTGTTTGAATATGTATTTTTTCAGAGGAGTCGGTGTTGGTAGTTGATGTGGTCTGTTGTACTGTCCAGTATTTTTGGTGATTACTGTTATCCTTTTTTATGACAATTTTAGGGTGTATATTTAGCCTGATTATTCAGAAACATTTACTTCCTAGATTCCTAATGAAAGAAGCATGTTTTTTGTAATGCAGTCTATATTATTTGAAACTGATCACTGATAGTGAAAAAAGTAATCTTTCACAGAAAAATAAGTCATTAACAAGAAAGTGAAGCTTTATAAAAAAAATTGTAACCATTTGATTGCTTTGAATAGCTACCTGTTCAATACAAAGACTACAAATAAAACAGATACTGATGTAGAATGTACACAGATGTATAGAAGGATTATCTTTGGTGAATATTCTATGTCTTTACGATTAAAGTATAGAATAATTTCTTACCCTGTCTATGGTTAAGTCATAAGAAAAGTCAAGTAGTCATTTTTCAATTTATAAATAAATGTCAAATTTAAGTTTCACAATATTCATTTAAAATTTCTTCTGTCATTATTAGAAACAGACAATAGTTTAAATTAAATCCTGTAATATTTAGAAAAACATATATGTTTATTTAGAATATATGGTGTCAAAAAGTTTCCATGGGAGATAATTCAGTAGGACTAATCCCTCCTTTTTTAAAAAGATTGGACTAACACCAACTGAGCCCTGAAGCTTCACAAAAACATATGTTTAGCTTAAAGTACATTTTGCTGAATATTTATGAAAATATATTATTGATGTTATTTTCATTGAAGAAATGAAATTTTATTGATCATAAAACTTTTACAAAAATGTTAAGCTGCCATTGCGTATATTGAAGTTTAATACTACGTTGACATAAATATTTGTCTTTAACATGATATTTTATTGACTTATGTGACAAATCAGAGATAAAGATTAATATCCATTGACAAATGATTATATCCATTTTCTCTGTTACTTCCACACATTTTTACACATATTTCATTTATACATATTGACCTTTCAAAGTTGCATTTACATAAATAAAAGCACATATTTTTTTACAATAAAATAATTGATATGATTAGTCTTTTAGATTTAAATTATTCTCTCTTTGATATTAGTATCTTGCTATAAAACTGCTGTACTTTTTCTCCATACACATGACACTTTTGCACAATATTCTTCAATTTTTGAACACATATTTTGATTGATATAGAAATTAAAAAATACCGCTGCAGTTTTCATTACTGACATTAGTCCAGATAGGTCTCTTTGGTAATGTCATTATGTTGAATGTAGGACATTTTGTCATAGAAACTATTGAAATGATGCGAAGGCAAGAGCTAGCAATCCTACATTATGTCAGCAACATCAACATTTAGGCTTAGTCTGTGGTTAAAGTTTTTTTAGAAATTGATGACTTTGACAAACCCTTATGTAATTTTATGAACCATGGCGAGAAGCATTTTTATGATCAAAGGACAGTATTCAAAACAAAATTAAGAAAATGTTTAATTCAATTTTTCGTATTTAACCTATAAACGGACTTAGTTAATTTTGCAGTTAACATTCAGATATTGCAGTGAACATTAAGATGCAGAATATTTGGGGTGAATAAGTCTTCATATACCCAAATGCAAGGGAAATAAATGTATAATGTAAAACAAGGTCACATGCAATTTGATGTCATGCCAACCCTTCCAAAGAAACATTATTTTACTGTTATCATCAGTATGTTTTGATTAACTTGTGTCTATATGTAGGAAAGCCAACCATATGCACATTGGATTTCGTTTTAGGAGTAATCTGCAAGAGCCTGAGACATATACTGCCTAAGATTATGAAAAAATCAAATATGAAATGGCCAATGCTGAAGTGAGAAGGAAGGTTTTACTTCTACAGGCTATAAGATGGGTATGGATACATTTACTGCTACATTACATTTATAGATACATTAACTGCTTCGTATCATTTAATGATTTATTTACCATTACATTACATTTGTAGATACATTTGCTGTTACATTACATTTGTAGATACATTTACTATTACATTTGTAGATTCATTAACTGCTACATTACATTTATAGATACATTTACTTTTACATTACATTTGTAGATACATTTACTGTTACATTACATTTATAGATACATTAACGGCTACATATCATTTAATGATTCATTTACTGTTACATTACATTGTATTGATACATTTACTGTTGAAGATACATTTACTGTTACATTACATTTATAGATACATTTACTGTTGAAGATATATTTACTGTTCTGGATACATTTTTGTGGTTTTCTGTTTTGATATTTATCAAATGATTAAATGAGCTATATTGGAACTCCATTTCGTGATATTTTGTATAGATAGGTGAATTAAAATTTCTTAGTACAGTAATAGTAATACATTGTGCTAGATTAAAATAAGATCTTTAAATGATTATGACTTTTTTATAAAACAAAATAGAGGAAAAAATACATTACCACTCACATGACTCCATTGCTTCTTGTAGCAGCATATTTTACTACGCCAATACAGTCAACTCCACTTGATCACATATTGGTAATTATTGATAACATAATTTGGTAAATTGCATTATTTTCTCCTGCACAAAACCATTTGCTATTCATCTACTGTTTAACAATCTGGTTATCTGCATAGTCTTACAAGTAACCTTTAGGTCAATTGCATAGAAAATAATCACCAGCTAGATATGTTTGGTTAAAACTGATGATTTTTTTTTACCAGAAACAGCAATTTTGTAAGAATAAATTTCTTGAATGCATTCTTATTTTCAAAGTACTTTTTTGTAGAGGTTAACACAGTCAAATCCACAACAGAGAGACTCTTCTATGACTACTTACAGAGATAATGATTTGTTAGGCTGTTCTGTGGCTGGGACACACAGGGTAGGTATTAAGGTATTCTTGGCTGGGACACACAGGGTAGGTATTGGGTTGTTCTGTGACTGGACACACAGGGTAGGTATTGGGCTGTTTTGTGGTTGGGACACACAGGATAGGTATTAAGGTTTGAGGCTGTTCTGTGGTTGAGACACACAGGGTAGGTATTAAGGTTTGAGGCTGTTCTGTGGTTGAGGCACACAGGGTTGGTATTAAGGTTTGAGGCTGTTCTGTGGTTGAGACACACAGGGTAAGTATTAAGGTTTGAGGCTGTTCTGTGGTTGGGACACACAGGATAGGTATTAGGGTATTAGGCTGTTCGTTGGCTGGGATACACCGCATAGGAGTTAGGCTGTTATGTGGCTGAGACACACAGGGTAGGTATTAAGGTTTGAGGCTGTTCTGTGGCTGGGACACACAGGGTAGGTATAAAGGTGAGAGGGAATTGTAATACTTTAACCCTAAACAGAGACAGACACAGGAATGACTGTGTAAAAAGACAAATATTTATATCTTTTTGTGGAACACACATGTATTAAATGTTGTAAAGAGCAAAGATGAATGCAAGCAGATCAACAGCAGATGCTTGGCTTTGAATACTTATAGATGCACTTTGTAGATTTATAAACATTAATTGGTTTCTAATTTATGTCTATTAACTGAAGTATGATCTGAACTCTTTTAAATATTTTCTTGAAAATTCTTAAGAGAAATTGTATATTTGCAGAAGAACTTTTCACCTCCCCCCTCCAAAACAAAACCCCAAAAGCAAGAATAATGAAAATAAAAGAATGTGTGGCCAACATATTGTTATGAAATTTGCACACATGTAGCTTTGCATAATAAAACAAAATGTTACCTTATCCAAGCATCATTTGTGATGTGAAGGATAAGGTGCATTATATGAAGAAGCCTAAGGGCTTTGAGGGTTAATAAGTGAACCTTTACTTTATGTCAAGGCCGCACGCCTTTTTTCACAGCTGAGTGATTTTTTGTCTGACCACTACTATATAAGCCCGTGCAGAGACGTGACCAGCCTCTTTTTTAAAAACCCAAACCGCTATGGGCATTTATTGGTCTTAATATTTATTTTTGGGACGGGCGTATTACTGAATATATAATTTGGGAGGGTACATATTAACTCTCGAAGCCCTTAGGCTTCTTCATATAATGCACCTTATCCTTCACATCACAAATGATGCTTGGATAAGGTAACATTATATATCATAATCCTGGGCTTGCTCAGGTTAATAAGTGAACTCTTTGTAGCTCCAATAAATGCAACTTCCAAAATATAATAAGAAATAAATGGAAATTAATAGCCAACTGATCTCATGTACATTACCAGTAAAAACTTGAACAGAGATATAAACAAAGAAATTCACCAAATATAAATATCCAACACAAAACTGATTTGAAAATCAGTCAAATCATTTTGACAAGTTTTGTTTTAAGACGAACAAGTCCTTGCTCTCCAGTCTTTATTCCACATACTTTGCAATTTTATCAAATACCAAAATTAAGTCTTATTAGACCCAGTATAAAGCAAATCTTTCACCTAAAAATTCTTGTAGCAATGCAGAAAAATTAAAATAAATGATTAATTCTTTTAATCTTGTTGTGTATTAATATGCATCACATGTAAACACAATATAATTGGAAAACAAATATTATTTGATGTTCATCACTAGTTCATAAATCTTTAGTATGTCCATACACGCAACACGATATATAAATAACATCGCAAAAGTCCAGTCACTACTCCTTCACTATTAAGAATCCTCCATCTCCAATCTGTTAGTTCCTCAGACAGTACATCTCCTGATGCAGAAAAAACCCTGGAACTGTATCTCTAAGTCACTGTCAGCATCAACGTGATCAGGCTGTAAAAGTATGATTAAATACTGAATGAACATAATTTGAATTTGTATTGTCTACCTTAATATCCTTACAGTAAAACTTTTTGAAGGTCTGAGCTGATGCCCAATTTGCTGTTTTCGGGATATCATTTAATGATATACCTGCTCTTTTAGCTGCAGAAGAGGAGGCAGATCTGTATGAATGAGCTTTAAATTTCAACACATTTATGCCTGCATTAGACAGTACCAATTTTAACCATCTGGCAATTGAACAGCTTGTTACAGCTTTTAAAGTTCTGAATGAAATGAACAATTTACTACTTTTTCTCAAGTCTTTAGTTCGGTGAATATAATGTTTTAAAGTTTCAACAGGACAAATTTCTTTTTTCTGAAAGACAGGAATAATAACATCTTGTCCTATGTTTTTTGGTCGTGTCGTCTTTAATAAAGTTGTGACACAAAAAATAAATGATGTGCCTGTACTGAGAACAGAGTTTAAATTAAGACTTGCAAATGTTTGTGGTCTTTGAGCAGATGCTAGAGCAATTAAAGCAACACATTTTAGAGTTAACATTTTTAAATCCAAATCCTGTAACGGGTACAGAGATTCTAAATAGCTCAATACTTTGCTAACATCCCAAGTAAACAAATATCTTGGTCTTGGTGGTCTAAGATTAAACACACCTTTCAAAAATCTTTGAATATAACTGTTATTTTCAAAAGATAAGTTACCCAAAAAAGTCAGTGTCTGACATATTGCTGATTTGTGACTATTTATACAGCTATAAGATTGTCCTTTTTGAAATAAAATGGACAGATAATCTAAGAGTAACTTTACAGATGGAGAAGTGGGACTAGTTTGTCTTGAATTACACCACAAAACCCAGCTTCTCCAAGAGTATTCATACTGAACATTGGTTGACTTTCTCCAAGATTTAAGAAAGATTTTTGTAGTTTTGTCTGAAAAACCTTGATTAAGGAGATGTTTCCTGAAACAAGACAGGCGATAAGAAACATTTTTCTTGTGTTCATTGTATGACTTTGATTGTTGTGTGCTAGAGTTAGCAAGTTTGACAACTGAGCAATTTTACAGGAAAATGTTATTTCTAACAAAGGTAAAACTGACCCTCCTTGATTATTTATATAGTTTACAGCAGTGGAACTATCTGATTTTACACAAATATGTGTTCTTTCTACGTGACATCAAAGTGATATTATGCTAAAATAGATAGCTTTTAATTCTAAAATATTAATGTGTAAACACTGCTCTTCCAAACTCCAATGACCTTGAGTTTGCTTTCCATGAAAAACAGCTCCCCAACCATTGAGGGAGGCATCTGTATGTAAATAATAACTTGGGGAATCATTTCTAATAGGTCTCCCATTAACTGTTTTAACATTTTCTAACCACCAAACGATTTCAGATTTACCTTCTACTGAGATATTCAAAAATGAATTGAAATTATTATTTGATGTATGTAAAGCTCGTGTTTTGTCTAAATCTAAATATCTATGAAACAAGTGAGCATATTGTACTGCATAATGTGCAGATGAATAAAGTCCTGTTAATTGTGCTAGACTTCTAATTGATACTTTGTGAGCTTTAAGCATTTTCTTTGATAGTTCAATTATTTTCTGTACTTTCTCCTCTGGTAAAAATACCTTAAATATAATAATGGTAATACAATTTACTGAATCTATAATATATCCCAAAAATATAATTCTATTGGTTGGAATAAAAACTGATTTTTCAATATTGATGTCAAACCCAACTGACTCTATAAAAGTTTTAACCCTTTCTGTATTTTGGATTGCCAAATCAAAGTTTTCTGCTTGCAACAGGGAATCATCAATGTAAAAATATGAATCAATACCCATGATCCGAATATGCGAAAATATTACTTTCAGTATTTTTGTAAATACTCTTGGAGCAGAAGCAATACCGAATGGTAGACATTGAAATTCATATAATTTTTCATTCCATATGAATTTTAAATATTTTTTGTCTGATTCATAGATTGAAATGAAAAAATATGCATCTGTCAAATCCAAAGATGTAAAAAGGCTATTTTTAGAAATTCCTTTTAAAATCAAATCTAGCGTTTCTTGTTTAAAATGGTGATAGCTAATAAATTGATTCAATGGTTTCAAATTATTGACTGGCCTAAATTTTCCATTTTTTTTTTACTAGAAATATATTTGAAATAAACTTCTGATTCATCAAAAGATTCTTTGATAGCACCTTTCTCAAGCATATCAACTATTTCTTTGTCAATAAGGGCCTTTTCCTTATTGTTAAATTTTATAGGAAATGGAATTTTTTCCTGAATTGGCTTTCTATCAAATTCTATCTTATATCCCTTAATTGTAGAAATAATCCAATTGTCTTTGGTTAAATATTTCCAATTTGAAATAATTTTTTTCAGTTTACCCGACTTTGTTTTAATATTTATACTTTTATTTCTCACCTTTAAAATCTTCTTTTCTGATTGAAGGTGTTGGGTCTGTTTCCTCTCAATTGACCCCGTGGGCTCTGATAACTTTGTCTTGGCTGATAGCCCCTTCTGCCAAAAAAAAACGGCTTCTTCCCCTGAAACTTCCTCTGTAATTTGAAATTCTACTATAGCTACTAGTAATGTTCTTGTTTATTTTGTTAATTTCATTGATATCTTTCAATCGCTTGCCAACTTCATCTCCAAAAAGGCTAGAACCTACATCTTCATTCCGATTGCAAAGTTGGTGGTATTTCTTGTCTATGTGTGGCTTTAAAGACATCCGTCTTTTAATTGATAGCTCAAAGTGAGTATTGCTTAAACTTGCCAAAGCTTTAGAAATGTTTTCTCTCATTAGTTTTACATCTGGAGTTTTGGATTTCAGAATTTCAGCCACTCTTATCAATGGTACCATACAACAACCCAGAGATTTTTGTATAGTTTGCTGATTCAATCAGCAGTTTTAGCTTTTCTTTCAAGGAATTGCCATATCTCAGCATTAACTGGGGGTGCTACCAGACTTTTACAATTTACAGGTATCTTCATCTCTCTCGTCATTACTGACACATCAGATTTCTTTTTACAAATATTGTCAAATACTTTAGCCAATGATTGGCTTACCTAGCCTCTTCATCGTATTTTTCATCATCTTCAAAAATCTTAGGTAGTTTATAATCAAATTCATCATCTGATGCAACAACTTGAGGTTCATTCTCTTCATCAGAAAAAATATTGTAATTGGTGTCAATCACCTGCTCGTCGGCTACAGACTCATTCTCAGAAAATTCCATGTCAATATTACTACTTGGTCTTTGTGACTTTTCATTATTCTGACTCAATGTGGATACCAGAGTATCCGACAAACCTTTAAATAGAGTTTTAAGTAACTCTGACTGGTCAAGCTGATTCTTTGCAGTATTTTTCTTTACTGTGCATGTGGTTGTGCGAGGTTTCGTAGACGTAGCCTTTGTAACTTTACCACGTTTTTTAACCGGACTTACTGTTATTCCGCTCCCTGATGGCAACTCGTTGTCCATCTCAGTCACCTGCCTTTTAGGTGTTTTATGCTTGCTTGCTAAAGCCTTGCCTTTTGTAGAGCTTGTACTCTTCTTACCTTTCATTACTCAATTTTCAGTCTGTTGTTGTTTTTGTGTTTTTGCCATTCAGATGTCCTCGGCAATTAATATTTGTGCTTCCGGGTTATCCAACTCAGGGTCATTAATGTTCTCAACTTGAGAAAAACCAGAAAATGAAGCATCAACTTCTTCGTCTGACGCAAATAATTTTAGTATTTCATTGTCATTACTGTCACTGTCTCCTAAACGCGATGTACAGCGCGACATAATTTCTGTATAAACAGCTGACAGATTCTGCCATGTTTTGAAATTTATTTTCAATATTTCCGATTCGGATAAATTATTTTACAACAGAGTCTGTTGTAAAACTTTTATTTCGTGTTTAATCGAGTCGACTTAACCACGTGCGGCCTTTTAAAATAAAGAGGCTGGTCACGTCTCTGCACGGGCTTATATAGTAGTGGTCAGACAAAAAATCACTCAGCTGTGAAAAAAGGCGTGCGGCCTTGACATAAAGTAAAGGTTCACTTATTAACCTGAGCAAGCCCAGGATTATGATATATAATGACTACTTTTGTGAATAAGTTTTGACATTTTGCTTTCTGTACAACTTATTATGTTATATAATGAAATACATGTTATTTCTAAAGGATGCAGTGCTTGCCTTATTGACATCTAGTGATGAACTTGTAAAAGAAGGAGCTGCCAGATTATTTAATGCTTTTGCTTCTCTTTGTGCAGGTAATGTTTTCTGTCATCTATTGTAAACAACTAATTAAGGAATAATGATACTGTTATTCCTTTTCTAATTTAATACTCTCAAAATGTTCAAATATACAGTAAAAGTTGACTGCTATTGTTGCTAATGACTACAACCATCAACCATGGAATTGATGGCAGACCTTATCCAATCAAAGTTGGCGATACTAGGCTTGTTGGATTAGTATTGTCATTTTAATTATATTTTCAAAAAGTGTAATCAGTTTATATAGACACATAAGGGAACTCCAATTCTGTAAATTCAAAAATCTATTTTACTGACATTTATTGTTCATGAGGGATTTTTTTTCCAGTGAAAAATCTTGAATATTAATCACCAGCTAGTATGTTTTGAAGAAGGTTATGGTTTGAATCTGTATTTTTCTTTTCAATGATTTAGGTAGAACCTATCTTGCCCAGAACCAAGATTTATTCAAAACTTTGTTAGATAATTTACGAGGTGAAGAAAAAGAATCAGTCACAAGAGAAATGGTACTTGGAGCTTTACAGAAACTCTCTTTAAGGTATGAGAAAGTCTTAGATCATTATCTTAATTGTTTAGATATTTATACATTGTACCACGGTATATACTATTTTATCATGTAAATTCCTCTTTTTTTTATATTTATTGCTGTAAATGACTTGCCATTAATTAAAACTGACATTTTAAACTCTGAATACATAGTTTGTATGCAATATTTTTGGATATAATAATCTTGCATTTTTGAAATCATAATCCTCAGAAACAAATCCACACAAAATTTCTAAATTTACATTTGTTAAAAATAAAAATAAACAGAACCATTTTGGATGTAATGTATATGATGAAAGTTTTGATATTAAGAATGATGCAATACATCTTGCTTAATATGAACTTTTTCATTTTCACATCATAGGAGAAACTTACAGACAGCCATGATAGAAGCAGGTTTAATAGAATGGCTGGTAAAGGTTCTTGAAGACAACGATTCTTTATCTGATTACACGCTGGAGTACTCTGTTGCTTTGTTCATGAATCTCTGTCTCAGGACCTCTGGGAAAAAACGCTGCGTCCAAAATGCTGACCAGACTTTAAAAGTCCTTAGTGATTTACTAGGGCATGAAAATCAAGAAATCCGTCCCTATGTCAATGGTGCCTTATACAGCATTTTAGCTGTTCCGTCCCTCAGAGATGAAGCTAATGCAATGGGAATGGAAGAAATTCTCCGTTGTTTTATTAAAGAGGACCAGCCTGATATGAATAGACAGATAGAATTTATAATCAAGCAGCTGAATTCAATAGAGACCGTGGATGAATATGATTCTGATGATGAGGAAGAGGAGGAAGAAGAGGTAAGGTCAAAGGTCAAAGTTTTATCAGTAGAGTCATATTCAGATCATTTCCGGGAAACTAAGGCTGACTAATTTTAGTGATTATGTGCATTACACATTTAAATGCTATCTATTTTTTTTCTCATGAAAAAAGGAACTGAAAGTGTTTATGACTTATTCCCGTCTCTTAACTATTTTATCAAAATTACATCATGGCAAAAATAAGACAAGTGGCAAATTACATGTTTACATTTAAAAGAAACTGCTGTAAATTCAGAGAGTTTTTTTGTATGCCAATAATACAACTGGGAGAGTATCACAATAATAAGAACTTACATTTTAATATTTGATTCATACATTTGTATGCTGCAATAATTTATCTCACATTTTATGTCCATTCTTCAAAAATTGCAACAATAAAGGCATGCAATAAATTCTGAATTTACAATATTTGCTTTACGTTATGTCTGTTACAGCTGTTGTCAACATGCTGTTTGTTATTCCACGTAAAGAAAACCCAGTTTTTAATATAAAGATAAAATGAGAAAACTATCCTCGAGAGATCATATGAAGTGGATATAAGCAATATAGATTACTGTAATGTAGCACACTACATGTTAAAGTGTCTGTACAAGGAACCATAACAGTGACTGTTAACCCTTTCGCCGACAATCCCGGTTTACCGGGATTCACGCTTCAGACAGCTGACGATGAGTCCCGTTTTACCGGAAACAGAATACCTCTTTTACATTTCCCGCTCAAAACATTGCAAACATGAGTTATCTTTCTTTGTTGATACCCGGATGAAAGTGTAAACATGGCGCTTCCGTTTGTTGAAAACCGTGTCAAAATCAGATGAAATTCACAGAATTTACGAGAATTTGAAATAAGGGAACATTTTTTTTTAAAGAATATGTCAGAATTGAAGCCAGACTAGTATACTTTTAATACGACCGCAAAAAAATTTTGTGGTCGTATATTGGTATAACATTGGCGTCGGCGGCGTCGTCCCAAGACACATTGGTTTTCGCACTCTAACTTTAGTTTAAGTCAATGGATCTCTATGAAATTTTACCATGAGGTTCAATACCACAAAAGGAAGGTTGGGATTGATTTTGGGGGTTATGGTACCAACAGTTAAGGAATTAGGGGCCAAAAATAAGCATTTTTGTAACTTCCAGACATAACTTGTGTGTTAGTGTATGGATCTCTCTGACATTGTACCACAAGGTTCCATATCACAAAGGGAATGCTGGGATTGATTTTGGGGGTAATTGCCTCAAAAGTTGAGGAATTAGGGGCCAAAAAAGGGGCAAAAAACAAGCATTTTTCTAGTTTCATGACAATAACTTGTGTGTAAGTGTATGGATCTTTCTGAAATTGCACTACAAGGTTCCGTATTACAAAGGGAAAACTGGAATTGAGTTTGGGGGTAATTGCCCCAAACGTTTAGGAATAAGGGGCCAAAAATAAGCATTTTACTAGTTTCCAGACAATAACTTGTGCTCAAGTGTATGGATCTCTCTGAAATTGTACTGCAAGGTACCATACCACAAAGGGAAGGCTGGGATTGATTTTGGGGGTAATTGCCTCAAAATATGAGGAATTAAGGGCCAAAAAGGGGCAAAAAACAAGCATTTTTCTAGTGTCAGGACAATAACTTGTGTGTAAGTGTATGGATCTTTATGAAATTGTACTACAAGGTTCCATATCACAAAGGGAAAGCTGGGTTTGAGTTTGGGGGTAATTGTCCCAAATGTTTAGGAATTTGGGGCCAAAAAGGGGAAAAAAACAAGCATTTTTCTAGTTTCCAGACAATAACTTGTGTTCAAGTGTATGGATCTCTCTGAAATTGTACTGCAAGGTACCATACCACAAAGGGAAGGCTGGGATTGAGTTTTGGGGTGATGAATCATAAGGGGGTTCAAAAAATTTGGGGGGGGATTTTAAATTTTAAATTGGTTATTTCTGATTTATATATAAAAGCAAATAATAATGATATGGTTTGAATAGGTAAATTAAAAAAATTTAAGTTCTTGGACCACATTCATTCTGTGTCAGAAACCTATGCTGTGTCACATATTTAATCACAATCCAAATTCAGTGCTGTATCAAGCTTGAATGTTGTGTCCATACTTGCCCCAACTGTTCAGGGTTAGACCTCTGCGGTCGTATCAAGCTGCGCCCAGCGGAGCATTTTATTTGACATAAAATGCTGTTTTATGTACAAAACACTTGGAATGGACATCGTTCAGTGTAAGGAATTTGTACATCCTCATTCAATTTTTCAAACTTATGCCGTTTTGGGTTAAAAAATTACGATTTTGGGTCAAAAAGTAAAATTTTGAGAATTCCACCTAAATAATGCCGAAAATTTGAAAATTTTTAATTTTTTATGAAGAAACAATTATCAAAACATGAACAAAACTGTAAAAATGGTGTTAGTGAATGAAATAAAGACAAAAATAACTACACACTAGTTTTTATTGATATTTATTATGTAGATCTCCCACTTGAGTCATAGTAGCCAGGGAAGCCATCGTCTCAAAGTAGCTTCTGTTGGGGCAGCTATCGGTGAAAGGGTTAATGTATTTTTGATATTTAAGTGATTTTTTTCTGTTAAGAATGCTGTGTTTATGGCAGAGCGATATTTAGTGTGAATTAACAGAATGTACTGGTAGTAAATGACACAACAAAATAAAAAAAAAATCTTTCAATTGAATATATAGTTTGAAACCTGAATATAATCATTTATAGGAAGACCAAGATGCCATGGAACTGGACATAGACAAAGATGAATCATTTAAACCAGAAGATAACGAAATGTCTGGAGAAAAACTACTGACCACAGAATATCTAGCAGCAAAAACTAGACCAATCAGACACAAGAAAAAGGTAAAACTAATAGTTTATGAAGAAGAACAATCAATTCCATATTTTTTGTCAAATGTTACTGCTCCCTTTTTTTTCACTTTTTATATTATTTTAATATTAAACTAGTTGCACTTTATTTTAGCATACAGATTTAGTAATGGCCAATGAGTTATTACAAAGACCTGTTACACCTAGTCAAAGAAGAGCTGAGAATCAACCATCAGGAACACAGTATGTATATTAACAACAGATTTGATTAAGTTAAACCTTTTCTTCTCCGAGTCAGGTTTGTTGTTTTATCCAGTGTCTCGCTCTTTTTATTCAACTTCACATACAAACTATGGTTTGTATGTATGTGTAAACTTTGTAAGTTTTGTAATTAATTGCACTATCAATAGGCTTTTTTTCATATTACTGACTTAACTACGGAGTATATAATTTGTTTGACATGTTACCTACTCTGTGGTAGGACATTCTGGTATTCGGTCAAGTAAGAGCTACTAAAAGAAGTAAAATTAAACTTAATATCAGTGAAATTTAGTGGAAAAAATTATCTGTTTTGCAATGATTTTTTTTTTTGTGTATAAAAACATAAAATTGATTAATAAGGTTTGAAGCATACATGAATGAAATCACCCTTCAAACATCATGCTTACTGGCCATCTTTTATCCTTTTTAATGTGAAACTAGACCTTTATACTTTGATAGTTTCCCCAATTTCATGTATTTAAACAGAAATTAAATGAAAGAAAGGAGTTCAAGTGTATTTACAAAGATTAACAGCCGAGCAAAACATAGCAGAAAGTAAAATAACAAAATTACTGAACTCCAAGGAAAATTCAAAATGGAAAGTCCTTTATTAAGATGTCCAACCTTAGGAGAAACTTGCATACCATTTTTCAAAGACTTGTGTTTTTGCCTTTTTGAAAGTTGCCATCATAGGCTAATTTTTGCAGTCATTGCTATAAACGATATTGTGTTTGATAATATGAGGTGACAGTTTCCCTCTGATTCTGTCTGAATATAGGTTTATTTCAAGACAGAATGCAGCTTACCAGAATGGATTTCAGTTTCTTGTGTTTTTATGTAAAATTAATCACTTTTTTAAGCTCTTGTTTGAGTTCCAATTCTTATTGTTAATATTTACTATTTAGGCCAATGACACCTGTGGTGGCCAGCCGACCTCCATCCCAGAGTAGTGTAATGAGACCACCAACAAGAAGTGGGAGTCGACCCAATACACAAGATAGTCAGAGAGACACAGCTAGTAAGAAATTTGCATACAATTTTAAGGTTTTCAACCAGGAAGTATAATGTAAGCATGTGCTAGGTTTAAATTGAGATATGACATAAGGCTTGAGAACACAGCCATTTCACAGTGCATTTCTTTTACACAATACCTAAATTTAAAAAAATGGCACATTCACTTTCTCAATAAATTTTTACAGTGAAGTGTACTACTTTTGGGACAAATTATATCAAAAGTATAGAAAACTTCATCAGCTCTAACTTAAAAATATTAACAATTTTATGTTTATGATGTCTTTCTTTGACAGCTTTAGACATACTCATTTTTGAGTTTTTTCAACTGGACCAAATCCATGCTTTACCTCAATATTCATGACCTAAATTATTTTACTGTGTAATTTCATCCAACTAGTGGCTATTCTATGCATAAAACATGGTGAAATAAATTAGAAAGGTGTACGAAACTGAAGTAATACACTGTCCATGTCAAGGTATATTTGTTCCGCCTAACAGAAGTTCCCCCTGGAAACTTTGTTATAAACAATGCCATAATATCTGTTCCTGTTGGAACAAATATTATATACCCTTTATTCCGCAAGGGACAAATTCTGTAATATTTGTTCCAGTGAAAATAATATTACAGAATATTTCTTCAACTTGGAACTTGTATTACGAAGGAACTTCTATTGCATGACACTGTATAATATTATAAACACAGGAATACACATTAAACAAGATTTTTTTTGTATGGGCTAATCTTGTTTGAACTTAACAGTAGATTCACTTTTTGTATATAGCTGATAAACATTTTAACTTTTATAGGAACAGAATATGGCAGGCCAACTAGTAAGAGCAGTCAAAGGTCAACAGGAAGTAAAAGTTCTTTGAAAGCACCAAGTATTGCTGAGTAAGTTCATTTCAAGTCTATTATATTCATAGTACTTATAGTCACATAGAATTATCCAGGAGAAATCACCACCAATATTTAAAGTTAAGTGTAGAGATCCTCCACACTGAATTTTATAGATCAGTCCTATTCTCTCCTTTGTGTTCGAAATTATTGCTCTTAATTTCTAAGTTCAACCAAAGAACTTTAATAAAAGATTATCTATGAAGGGTGTGGTACATTCTGACTTTTAGTATTTGTTGTCATCTAATAGAAAAGAAAGGATATGAGGTATACATCCATGACACAAAACCAGTATGTGCACAGCAAAAAACACAAAAAGCAAAGGAACAGCACTTTTATTGCTGTTCTTCATCTCAAAGTCACAGTGAGGCCTTCAACACGGAGCCAAAAAACTCGCACCTCACTGCAAGTTTAAGACAGCCCTAGCACCGGTTTGAGCGGAATTATCTGTCAATTTTCCATACAGATATTAATCTTAGTCTTGCAGACACACTTATCTGTGGAGTATCTAATATCCATCACTTTCTTGCATCAATCTGTTCTTTACACTTTGGTAAATATTATTTATTCATTTTCAAAGTTTTGTACATTAATTTATCTCCCTTTAGACACCCAGAATACAAACAAGCCTTTGGATCCAAGCCAAGGATTCTTAGAACTCCACATGGAAGGGAAGGCACACCATCTAATCCAGGAACACCACATCTCAGGACCCCAGATAGTTCAAGGAGGCCCACCAGCAGAGGATCAGTTGGTAGTCTACCTCCACAGCCACAGTACTCTGAGTCAGGACCAAGACCAAGTTCTGCTGGAAAGTCTGGTAAGGAACATGAAATTACATAAAAACAATGAAACCTGTCAAAATCAGACCCTTTGTTAACTGGAATCCAGTTTTCATACCCTTTGTTAACTTGTTTATTTAGTTTGTCGAAACTGTGCTCTATGATTCCTAGGCCTAATTGATATCAAGACCATTTTGTCAACCTTCACCAAAATCTTTATTTTTGGCATATTTGGGGTTTAAATCTCAAGGCTTTTTTTTATAAGAAAAGCTGGACAAAAGTAGTTCTATTTATCATTTACATGTTTTATATTCATTAACTTGCAGCACTTGAATCAAGAGACTTAGAATTCCTGGCCAGATAGGGCTCTTACTACTTTGTAACATTGCCTGACTGGTCATTTATTTGGTAGGACCTTAATCAATAAAGTCATTTTTAACTATTGTCTATTCTGTTTATTTATCTTTTAGGATCATGATCGTAATAAGTATGTTCTACTGGCTGATTGTTTATTTGTTAGTTCCATAATAATTAATTTGTACTGTACATACCAGGTCTGTTTAAGTATTTGCTAAGGACCCTAATTTTAATAAGTTTTTATACGCACGTTTACTGGATGTATTATGGTATACCGTTGTATGTCCGTCTGTTCCGTCGTCAACATGTCAGACAGATTCTCAAAAACGCTTTAACCAATTTGCATGAAACTTTGGTGAATTGTTTATATCTATTGATGTGAGCTCCCTTTCGATTTTTATAAATTTTAGATTTTAAGTTTCCGAGTTCTGGGGTTTTATTCATTAAAAAAGGGGGGATTTTCCAGTTTTCTGACAATAACTCAAAAACGCTATCACCAATTTGCAAGAAACTTTGGTGAATTGCTTATATCTTTTTATGTGAGCTCCCTTTTGATTTTAATGAATTTTAGATTTTACATTTCCAAGTTATGGGGTTTTATTCATTAAAAAAAGGAGATTTTCCAGTATTCGGCCAATAAATCAAAAATGCTTTGAGCAGTTTTCATGAAACTTTGGTGAATTGTTTATATCTATTGATATAAGCTCCCTTTCCATTTTTTTATAAATTTTAGATTTTACGTTTCCAAGTTATGGGATTTTATTCATAAAAAGGGGGTGATTTTCCAGTTTTCAAACAATAACTCATTGTGCTTTGAGCAGTTTTCATGAAACTTTGGTGAGTGGTTTACATCTATTAAAATAACCTCCCTTCAGTTTTTTTTATAAATTTCTGATATGACTTTATGAAGTTATTGAACTTTATTCTTTGAAAAAGCGACGGGCGTATCATGTGCTAATGGCACAGCTATTTATTACTATTGCCTAACTGGTGTATTTATTTGTTAGGACCGTAATGTTGGTAAGTTTGTTGAATTGTTGTAGGTTTGTGTATCTGGTGTTTTTATCCTATCACTTCTTAGGTAATATCTATTAATATTGAGCATCATTTTGTTGAGAGACCTTTTTTTCTTCTTCAAAATTTTATAAAAAACAATCGCCTTTACAGATAATAAAGCATCAATGATAATATTTCCAAAATGTTGTTACAACACCAACTTAAAACATTCCAAATAATAGATATTCAACTTTAGCTTTAATATTATATTCATTTTTGTGCACAAAAAAGAAACTGCCAATAGTTCTTTAGATAATGAAATGCTGAATTTACTCACATTATTTTGAAACCTTTTTTGTTTTATAACTTTCTAACTTACCCTCTGACAAAAGACCCACTTTTGTATTAATCTGTATTAAACCAAAACTAGTCTACATGAAATATAATTGCTTGGCAAAAATCATAGATTTTTAGATGGATTTAAAGGTAAAACTGAATGAAATGGTGCTCAGTGTAACAGTTTAAAGTTCACTTTTTATTTTTAATTTTGAAGTTTAATTTCCTTTTTTCTGATTGATTATTACTATTAACTTATTTTGTCATCACTTATATGTATATGAAAAACACAATATTAATTAATGTTAGGCAAATAGCAGACCAAAATACCTTTTTGTTTGGAAGAATTCACAGAATTCAAGACATAGGAATGCTTATTCAGCCAGGGTGGTAGTAAACAATTTGTTCAATGAATAATGTAGTAAGAAATCTATGGTAATAAAAAAAAATAATAACTTAATAAAATAATACTGATAAAAGAGAACTGAAAGATACCAGATTAAAGGGACATTGAAAACCAAGTCTAAAACAAACTGACAACACCATGGCAAAAAATGAAAAAAGACAATCAACAGTATACAAAACACAGCATTAAAAAATAAAGACTGATACTGATTAATGTGTGCAAACTATGATGCATCACAGAAGATTTGACTAGCCTGCAATTTCACTGAAGAAAATAATGAATTACATGTATTTTGAGGTCACTGATGAAAGTCATAGGTTAGGACAATTTTTGTCTCGCCTTGACGGAGTCAAAGAGCGAGACATAAGGATGCTGTTGTCGGCGGTTGCGGCGGCGGCGGTGTCAACAATGTATTAGTTTGTGATTAGGTCTAGTTTATGGTGAATCACATGTGGTAGGTCAATCATATTTGGTATGCAGTTGTATTAGCATTGGCACATCTCATTTCCATGGAGATTATTTGGCCCTGCCCCCTCAGTCATGGTCTATTGACTTTGAAACTTTTGCTTAGTTTACATGTATTAGTTTGTGATTAGGTCAGTTTATGGGGAACCACTGGTGGTAGGTCAATGATATTTGGTATGCAGTTGTATTAGCATTGGCATATCTCATATCCATGGAGATTATTTGGCTCCGCGCCCTTAGTCATGGTCTATTGACCTTGAAAATTTTGCTTAGTTAACATGTATTAGTGTGTGATTAGGTCAGTTCAAGGGGAACCATTAGTGGTAGGCCAATGTTACTTGGTATTCAGTTGTATAAGCATTAGCACATCACATTTCCTTGGAGAATATTTGGCCCCGCCCCCTCAGTCATGGTCTATCGACTTTGAAACCTTTGCTTAAATTACATGTATTAGTTTGTGATTAGATCAGTTTAAGATGAACAGCTAATGTTAAGTCAATGATATTTGGTATGCAAATTTATTGGCATTTGCAAGTATCGTTTCCATGGAGATTATATAGCCCCACCCTCTCTTCATGGTTCATTGACTTTGAAACTTTTACATAGTTTACAAGTCAATGTTTGTGTTAAGGTTTGTTTAAAAGGATGACTTATAATAAGTCAATGGTATTTGGTATGCAGTTGTATTAGCATTGGCACATCTCATTTCCATGGAGATTGTTTAGCCATGTACCTCAGTCATGGTTCATCGACTTTGAATATTTGCATAACTTACATGCTAAAGTATTGCTATTTTAATTTCAACATTTGCATAATCAAAATTACAAAAAGGCGAGACATATCTCTGTGATAAGAGTTTATTATTCTCAAGAACTTCATTGCCCAAAACTATGATATGTCTAAGATGATATGTTTAGCCTGCAATTTCACAAAAGAAAAATAATGCACTACATGTATTTATAATAAAGGTCATAGGTTGGGGCAGTTTTTGTCCCGCTTGCGACGAAAGTCGCAAAAAGTGAGACATAGGGATTGCTTTTCCGGCGACAACGGCGACGGCTTTGGCGTCAACAGTTGCTAAGTTTTCTGCTTAAGTTAGTTTGATAGGAACTACTTGTGATAGATCATTGATATTTACTATGAAGTTGCATTACTATCAGTACATATCAGTTTGATGACTATTTCGAGGCTCTACCCCCTAAGTCATGGTCCAGTTACTTTGAATTGATAAGCAATTTTCAATGTTAAGTTTACTGCTTAAGTTAGTTTGATAAGATATAGATCAATGATATTTTGTATGAAGTTGTATTACTATATGTGCATATCAGTTTGACAACTATTTTGAGGCCCTTCCCCCTAGGACATGGTCCAGTGACTTTGAATTAATTAGCAATTTTCAATGTTAGGTTTTCTGTTTAAGTTAGTTTGATAGGATCTACTTGTGATAGATCAATGATATTTTGTATAAATGTGCATTACTATCAGTTCATATCAGTTTGACGACTATTTTGAGGCCTTGCCCCCTTGGACATGGTCCAGTGACTTTGAATTCATTTCTAATTTTCAATGTTAAGATTTTCTGCTTAAGTTAGTTTGATAGGAACAACTTACGATAAACAACGATATTTTTCTATTAAGTTACATTACTGTCTGCACATTTAGTTTGTCGACCATTTTCAGGCCCTGCCCACTAGATCATAGTCCGGTGACTGAATTAATAAGCAATGTTGATGCCCTTGAGATTTTCTTTTTCTGAATTTAATGGCGATAGGAGAGACATATCTCTGTGTCAACAGTTTATTATTCTTAAGAACTTCATTGCCCAAAACTATGATACGTCTAAGATGATAAGTTTAGCCTGCAATTTCACGAAAGAAAATAATGAAATATATGTATTTTGAGGTCACTAATAAAGGTCAAAGGTTAGGGTAGTTTTTGTCTCGTCCTGAAAGCGAGACATAGGGATTGCTTTTCCGGCGACGACAGCAACAGCGTCAACAGTTGTTAAGTTTTCTGCTTAAGTTAGTTTGATAGGAACTAATTGTGATAGATCATTGATATTTACTATGAAGTTGGATTACTATCAGTACATATCAGTTTGACAACTATTTTGAGGCCTTGCCCCCTAAGGACATGGTCCAGCGACTTTGAATTAATGAGCAATTTTCAATGTTAAACTTTCTGCTTAAGTTAGTTTGATAGGATCTTCTTGTGATAGATCAATGATATTTTGTATGAAGTTGCATTACTATCAGTACATATCCGTTTGACGACTATTTTGAGGCCCTGCTTCCTAGGACATGGCCCAGTGACTTTGAATTAATTAGCAATTTTTAATGATAAGTTTTCTGCTTAAGTTAGTTTAATTGGATCTACTGGTGATAGATCAATGATAGTTTGAAGGAAGTCCCATTACTATCAGTACATATCAGTTTGACGACTATTTTGAGGCCCTTCCCCCTAGGACATGGCCCAGTGATTTTGAATTAATTAGCAATTTTCAATGTTAAGTCTTCTGCTTAAGTTAGTTTGATAGGATCTACTTGTGATAGATCAATGATATTTTGTATGAAGTTGCATAACTATCAGTTCATATCAGTTTGATGACTATTTTGAGGCCCTGTCCCCTTTGTCATGGTCCATTGACTTTGAATTCATTAGCAATTTTCAATGTTAAGTTCTATAAAGTTACATTACTGTCTGTACATGTCAGTTTGTCGACCATTTTCAGGCCCTGTCCACTAGATCATGGTCCAGTGACTGAATTAAAAAGCAATGTTGCTGTCTATCAGATTTTCTTTTTCTGAATTTTATGCCGATAGGCGATACATATCTCTGTGTCAACAGTTTATTATTCTTAAGAACTTCATTGCCTGATACTATGATTTACTCCTGACATATTAATCAGCTTATTTGATTATGAGGTTTCATTAAACTGTGTTAATGATGTTTCAGTTCTCACGGTAGTTATGTATATCTTTTATTTTTTGTATACATGGATAAGCTTTGGAACGATGGAAAAGAAGGAACTTTGCATATTAATTCATGACAAATTCCCTACACACTCTGGTCAATATCCAAAAAAAGGGGACATCACTTTAATTGCTGATCTTCTTACCCAGTCATATTAAGGATTTCTAAATGGAGCTGCTATCTAATATGGAATTGTTTGAGGATTTTTATTCTCATTTTCCAGACTTTGGGAACTAAGCCATTTTTTAAATATTCAAATTTTCAGTATAGAGCATTCTCCATTGTTTAATAAACATTCTACACAACCCAGCCATTCAAGTCTTTAATCTATTTTTAATTGTTAATAAATGTTCTCTTGTTAAAAATATTTAAGTTACCAAATCAGATAATTTTTTTTCTCCCAACATTTTTGTCAATAACTTTGTTTTTTTTCATGAATTTTGATTTCAAAACATAAATCAAATCCAATGTTAAATTTTTCTTACGATGTGATTGTAGCTATATTAACTAAAAAAATAGGGTTAGTAAAACAAAATGCACAAAAAGTACTTTTTTAATTATATATTCCATGTATTTCTTCATTTTCATGTCTGCATGGTATTAAATATGTGATTACACTGCATTCTTAACCATTTATATGTTTGTTTTAATTTCACATTATATCATCTTCATGTATAAATAAAAAAAAATAATAATATCATAATCCACCACATGCAACAAATTAATCGGAGCAATTACACGAAAACCAAAATATTAACTTGATAAAAATCTGCAAGCAGACCCTTTTACTACAGAAAGATTTGTTTAATGTGTAATGCAAACAGTTATTTTGTTTCCTCTGTGTCAGTTGAATAATATGCTGTTTCCTCTATGTCAGTTGAATAATAGGCTGTTTCCTCTATGTCAGTTGAATAATAGGCTGTTTCCACTACATGGATTCAGTAAGCAGAGGTTTTATTCTTTTTTATGTGTACTGATGAGACTTTTGTAGGAGTTACTTTTCTATGTATTCTTTGAATGCTTTATATAGAAGTTCATTAATAAGTGTACTAATCAGTAGTTAAGAGGGGAAAAAGTACCAGGTACTGTGTTTAAATTGAAGACCCAATTCAGTAATGAGCATTTTTTTTTTAAAGGAATGCTAAATCAACTGGGTATAAAATGAATATTGGATCAACTATATTTAAAAGAAAAGTTTTAATGGAAATACATTTGTAATGAAATCATAACAATCATAACAAGAGAACAGTTGCATATTTTTAAACAAACATGGATAAACATACACAGACAGAAAACACATTAAAATAAAGATTTGGGTTACACGCCAATGAAGGAAATTAAATGCTTTCCCATGATGATCCCCATTAGAATTATGGTGGATCATCACACCTTTAGGAATACAATTTTGATTTTTCCTTTGCAAGACATTAGAGAATTTCAAAAAGAAAAGTCCTGTAAAGGCTCTGCTGCAAATTTAATTGTTTGTAAATGCTGTGTTTAGAATTCCTTTAAATGTTTATAGCAGACAACAGGAATTGCCATCAAATATGGCTACTACCATGACTAATCAAGGAAACTTTTACAAGGAAATAATTACAAATATTATTGTCAGAGAACAAACTCATTGCTATTGCTGGGGACAATTTATCCTTGTCATGTCAGAATTAGTAGTTAGATGACAAATATAGGCTTCTTGGAATCTCTTTACCAAGGGATAACAAAATGTTTCATCGTTGATAAAACTTATTAGTCCCCTACCGACGAAGTGGAAGGGGACTTTAGGTTTGCACTCCGTCCATCTGTCCGTCTGTCTATCCGTCAGTCCGGCAAATCAGCTTTCCATACTTTTTTTCTTTGTTCTTGGAAGATATTGATTTGATATTTGGTATATATTTTTATCATGACAAGTTATAGATCAAGTTTGAATTTTGTTCCGGTCAGATGATTTAGTCCAGAGTTATGGACCATAACTCTGGACCATTTCTAATGTTAGAGTACTATGTTAAACCATATCTCTGTACAAAGGGAGATAACTCACTTTTTAAACAACATTCTTTGTTAAATTATTTGAAGAATTTTTTGGCAGGTTTGTTTGTTATTTAGTATAAACTAATTTTCTGAATGCTATATATATATAAAAAAAAATTATGAAGAGAAATCCTTTAATTAGATAATAATCTATTTTTATTAATGTATATATTTCAATACATTACATTGTGTAGATAAAAGTTGTTGACATTTTATAGATAAGTTACAAATCTATATTAGTTTGTGACAAATGAAAGAAAAAATATTTGGAACTATTAATTATATTTGATTATAATTTCAAAAATAGATATACACTGTATTACATCATATCTAATTTTAGAGAACTATTAATCATATCTAATGTTTTTTTCATCATGCTAAGTATAAGATATTGATTGATAATTGGTATATAGTTTTATCATGACAAGTTACAGATCAAGTTCAAATTTTTGTTTCGGTCTAATGATTTTGTGCAGAGTTATGGTCCTTGGACTTGAAAAATTCACTAATATAATCAGTTTTCCACACTGTTTTTAGTCATGCTTGAAGATATTGACATGATATTTACTTTTTGTTACACCATGACAAGTTATAGAACAAGTTAGCATTTTGTTCCAGTATAATGAATTTTTACCCGGTAGGGGACTATGTATTACCATGCAATACACTCAGAATGCTTGTTTTATATATTTTAGGTGGATCTATTTCTGGTGGATCAAGGAAGCTCTCTACAGGAAGTGCACACAACCAGGATGCATAGACAAGGGAGATTACTCATTTTAATGACTTGTGATAGGTCATAGAACATTCCATTTTTATATGACTTAGTTATATTTTAGTGCTATTTATTAATGTCTTTTATGAATGTTAAATGCAGTGACTTTGAAGTATGTGCATTTACTCTTCTCTAAATATGTTTCATCTGTTAAATTTTGTTCGTAGTTATAAAAGTCAGGTTGTACTGTACTTATATTTGTTTAAAGTCAGGTTGTACTGTACTTACATTTGTTAAAATCAAAGCATTTCATATTGTTAAGTTGATCTTGTTTTGAAATTGTATTTTTGAGCTCTTTGTAATGATAAAATTGGAATTTCAGCTATTCAGTAAATTTTACATTTGTATTTATTATATTTTGTGCTTTGTATGTCAGATTAATATAAATTGGTTTGCAATAACTGGAATTTGATCTTTGAAATTTTGATAACCTTGTTTATTTAAAAAAACAAATTTTAATTCTGTAAATTTGGAATAAAATAGTGTAAATTTTGTATGTCTCTCTTTTACACACATAAAATTTTTGAATAAGGGGCATTGTTAACAATAGTTTTCAATTGATCCAATTTGAGCAAGAGTGAATTCCCTTTTGTTACCATTTTGGAGGTCAATGTGCAGAAATTCCTTCATAAATCACAAAATTCAATTTGTTATACTAGACACTATACTTGCTTATTCTTAAAATATGGTTAGTCAAATAAGACAATCAACCAATTTACCCCTCCAAAATGGCAGCCAAGGGAAATAACTCAAACTAAAATTACATCATATTGAAACTCAACAAGCAAAAATTATCAGCAAGACAAGATCTACAAATAAGTCAACATGTTCGAAATTGTTAGTCAGCTATTTATTTGAGTTATTGTCCTTTAATGATTTTTTTTTTTTGCATTTTTGCTTATTATCTTGAAAACTGAAATAGATAGATTTAGGCACTACAAATAGCAAAAATGGTCAAAAAGACAAGATCTACAAATAAGCCTAATGACTGAAATTGTAAGTCCACTCCTTATAGTAGTTATTGCCCGGTTGTTTTCCAATTTTTTGTGTGATTGTCTATTATTAGTCCCCTTCCGACGAAGTCAAAGGGGACTTAAGGTTTGCCATCTATCCGTCTGTCCGTCTGTCTATCCGTCAGTCCGGCAACTCAGTTTTCCACACTTTTTTCTTCGTTCTTGAAGATATTGATTTGATATTTGGTATATAGTTTTATCATGACAAGTTATAGATCAAGTTCGAATTTTATTCTGGTCTGATGATTTAGTCCAGAGTTCTGGTCCATAAAAAACTCCATAAACTAATGTTAGAGTACTGTGTTAAACCATATATCTGTACAAAGGGAGATAACTCATTTTTTAAAAGACATTCTTTGGTAAATTTTTTGGGAATTTTGTAGCAGGTTTATATGTTATTTTGTATAAACTAATTTTCTGAATGTTGCATGTATATATATATATATATTTTTTTTTTTATTAAGTGAAATCCTTTAATTAGATAATAATCGATTTTTATTAAGGTATATATTTCATTACATTACATTGTGTAGATAAAAGTTGTTGACATTTTATAGATAAGTGACAAATCTTTATTAGTTTGTGACAAATGAAAGAAAAAATATTTGGAACTATTAATTATATTTGATTGTAATTTGAAAATAGAAATACATTGTATTACATCATATCTAATTTTAGAGAACTATTAATCATATCTAATGTTAGAGTGTTATAATAGGTTTTCCTCACTTTTTTTCATCATGCTTGAAGATATTGATTGACAATTGGTGTATAGTTTTATCATGACAAGTTACAGATCAAGTTCAAATTTTTGTTTCGGTCTGATAATTTTGTGCAGAGTTAAGGTCCTTGGATTCACTCATATAATCAGTTTTCCACATTGTTTTTAGTCATGCTTGAAGATATTGACTTGATATTTTCTTTTTGTTTACACCATGACAAGTTATAGAACAAGTAAGCATTTTGTTCCAGTATAATGAATTTTTACCCGGTAGGGGACTATGTATTGCCATGCAATACTCTCAGAATGCTTGTTTTGAACTATAATAGACCGAGAAACTTTAAATATCAATAATGATCCACAAGGTCTACAAATAAGTTGAAATTTCTGAATATGTTGGTCAACTCTTTATAGAAGTTAGTACCCTTAAAAGACAATTTTTACCAATTTTTCGAGTTTTTGCCCTTTCTGTTGAAAACTTTTATAGATAGATAGAAACTTTAAAAACACAAAACTGATTAGCAAAACAAGATCTGCAAATAGGTCAGCATAGATGAAATTGTCAGCTGTCTATTCGAGCGTCACTGATGAGTCTTTTCGTCTGGCGCAAATACAAAATTTCAATCCTGGTATCTATGATGAGTTTATCTACTTATAGGAATTATTACGATAACTGAAAATTTTTACCCTTTTTGCATTTTGGGCAGAAGAAGTTAGAAGATATAAAAGAGAAACTGTAAACAGAAAAAATGATCAGCAAAACAAGATAAAAAAAAAAAAAATTTGGTCATGAACTTTATCCTAGTCTCAATGTTAGAGATTGTCCATTGTTGAAGTTGCACATAGACCTAGGTGAGTGACACAGACTCTTTAGAACCTCTAGTTTTAAGATGAATTGATTATGTCAAATTTAAAGTTCAAATTATACATTGAAATGGATGTGTCACAGTGGAAGGCAATGATTTCTTGTAACCAACACCTCAATTACTGACAGAAACGTGAACCAGTTTTGTTGGGTATGTTTTGAGTTCTGTTTTGTCCCTTCTGATTTTGCCTCTGGCTCACCTGTTACAGTCTGTTTTGGCAAATTATATAGGTTCAAACTGTACCCTTTAAAATAAAGATAGTTTTGCAGTCTTTTTCTATGGCGTTTCAGTATATGGGTAACATTTATTGCAAGAATCTGTCTGCCATGACATCCGACAACTTGGTTAACAATTGATGTTCCCCTCTTAAACTTGTCTTGCAAATGGCATTGCATAAAACAATTTTGTTGATCGGTCATGGGTGGTCATTAACAAATCCAGTCTTCCTGTACTGTTGTTGTACGGACTAAAAGAGTTTCTAAAGTGAAATTTTGTAGGAACAGCAAGTTGATATATTCCTGCCTGCAACATTCATATGGCCTGATTTAGATTTTTATTGCTTAGTCTCGGCAATACAAAAATGAAACTTTGTTTTACTGATTTAAGTGTGGGTATGGTTTCAAAGAAATGTTTCATGAAAAAAAAAACCCTTAAAAAAATCATGAGTGGGTTTCAAATCAAGAAATTTGTGTGACGTCAATAATCCGGTATGTTGAATTACCTCTTGTAAGTCGGGTATTAAATTTTTGTAAACAGAAAGAAGTATGGTAAGCATGAATCTCAGTTATATGAAGATTAATCATGATTTGCTTTTAAATTATATTTTTGAAAACATATGGTCCTACATCATGTTGATATTATGTACTTATATTTTGGCATTGCACAAGGTCATGCTACATTGTGGGAGAACATGATTTATTTAGTAGTTGTTATTGGCTATTGGTTGATTGTCTTATTGACTTAGGGGACGACCATTTGATATTCTGGGGGGGGGGGGGGGGGGGGCAGGAGGATTTTGAAAATAAATAACTCAGCCTTGATAATCACAAAAATAAATGGTTTGTTCTGTGGTAGTTCGAAAATAAATAACCTGACTTACAATGTATTGAAAATGAATAACTCGGCAGGTCTTTAAGCAATTTTATAAATGCTATTCGAAAGTATGAGGTGGCACCAGATTCTTCATAAAATTTATCTTTTTTGAAAAAAAAATTCGGGAAACACTTCCCAAATCTTTTAATAATAAAGGTATAAATATTATTTAAATATACTTGAAATGTCTGAAAATGGGTTTCATTTAACTTGAGGTATATTGGCTCAGGAACACTTACCTCACTTTTATTACAGGGCTGTAACTACATTGGGGCAAATGCCTTTATGTAGGAAATTTTAAAACCAAAAGCTTGTCTTCATATCAAATTGTTTTCACAGCGAGTGTTTGCAAGAAGCAAGTTCTGTTCTCCCTTGGATATAGCACCTGTTTTTTCGGGATCAATGTTTCTTTAAATTTGTCTTTTGTTCATTGATTGCCCTTCTGTATTCTCTTAGTGTTGCATTCGTTTTGTGATTTAGTAATTTTGTTTTCAAATTGATCATGAGTTTTATTTTATTTAAGACTTTTTAGCTAATTTTACAACTTAACTACTTTAAATTGTATCCCAGTTAAGAGCTACATCAAGTTGTAATTGAAATGTGTTATTAAAAATTACTTGACATAGTTATATCACTGATAATCAGCCCCCTCTTAACTTAATTTGAATAAAACCCCATATAATTTACAGGTATAAAAGATTTAAATTCTGCATGCCGAAACAACAACAAAAAAAAACAAAAAAAACCAGCAGCCACATACTTAACTATGTGAATTACATTTTTACTTTATTCTTCATATTGGTCTTTTGATGTTGTCCATAAAAACTTAAGTCTTACGCTGAATCTATACATTTTGCATTGAGACCAAAATATTGTCAAAAAATTATTAAAACAGAACTTGCGTTTTCAGAATAAGAATTTAGGGTCTGGGAACGCCCAGAAAGCACGATTTTGCATCATTTGTTCTATTTTTCTTTGGGCCTTCAGCGGCTTCAAAACCCTTCAAATTTTTTTTGCCTCGCTCCACTCGGCGTAAATATATTTGGTAATACTTTTAAAAGAAGCTAGTCACAGCCCAACTTTAATACCGTGTATGTATGCAATACATGTCTTTGTAGTTTGGAATTCAGAAGATTCATTTTCAGAGATGATGATTAATTCTGATTAAATGGTACATTAATGACTTGACTGTACATGTATTATTTATAATAAAAAATGAATTTGAAAATTGTATGTTTTCAAATATTATTAATATAGTTATGAAAATAAATAATCAGTCCCTTGTTTTAATGAAAATGAAAAATCTTGCTTCAACAGTGCAGAAAATCTCCTGCCCCCCCCCCCCCCCCCCCCCAGAATATCAAATGGTCGTCCCCTTAACATTAAATAAATTTTGTAGGGTTGAGCGCTCACAAACATGTTTCACCACGCCATATTCTGTATGTTTCTGACTTGTTGGGAGCCTGTAATGCAGTGGTTGTTTATGGTGCTGTCTGTTATATGTATGTTTCTTGTATACTAAGAGCAATAGGTCAACT